CCCTTTGCAGATTTGCCCTTTCCAGAATTCCCCTTTTCCTGCCAAATCCCGCCCGTTCCGGGGGATGAGCCCGGATCCCACATGGCCTCGTTCCAGGAATTCCAGCGATGGAGCGTGGATTTATCGGGAACAGCTGAGGGTGCTCCGAGCCTTTGGGGGATGGGGGAAGGGGGAATTTTCCACCTTGCGGGGAGCTGGAATAGGAATTGGGAATATTTGTGACAGCAGAACTCGTTTTCTCTCAGAGTCCTTCCCTCCTTCCTAAAACAGGRGAGGAAAAAGAGCTGGAAAGGGGTTTGGAGCAATTGGAGAGGGATTTGGATCCATATTTCTGTGCAATTTGGGATTTTTAAGGATTTTTGAGGGGTTTTCCCTGGCCTTCCCCAGGATGTGACCAAAACCCCACAGAGCGGGGAAAAGTGGGAATGGGGGACAGAGGGGAGGGAACAATTCCCAAAGCGCAATTCCCAAAGGAACAAAACTGCACAACAGAGATCGGACATGGAAACCAATCCCCATCCCAAAAAACAGCCCCCATTCCCACAAAAACCATCCCAAAAAACACCCACATTCCCATAAAAACCATCCCATCCCAAAAAACACCCCCCATTCCCATAAAAACCACCCCATCCCAAAAAACAGCCCCCATTCCCATAAAAACCACCCCAAATAAACCATCCCCCATTCCCACAAAAACCATCCCAAAAAACACCCACATTCCCATAAAAACCATCCCATCCCAAAAAAATACCCCCAATTCCCATAAAAACACCTCCCATTCCCACAAAAACCATCCCATCCCAAAAACCACCCCCCATTCCCATAAAAAACATCCCATCCCAAATAAACCATCCCCCAAAACATCCCCACATTCCCGGCCGACCCCAAACCTCAAACCCCCCCTAAAAAAAAGGAACAAAAAAGGTGGAATCTCAGTCAGTTCTGTAAACCATTTTTTTTTTTTTCAAAAGAACAATGAAAAAGGATTTATTTGTTTCTGCCTCAGCCTGGATTCGATCCCATATTGCACAAGGAATAACAATTCCATCGTCAGGTACAAACAACGGCTCCAAATAAATAAAGGGA